TCGATAGCATGCGATAGTGCGATACCACTTGTAGAAAATATCGACAAGCCCACAATGTATCATCCCTATCGTTCAGTAGCAACAAAATAATTGAACGAACTGGGTGTGTGCGTCGGTGCCTAGCTGCTTCACGTAATTTGCTAATGCAGTGGAAAATCCAAGCAATCGAAACAAAAAAGTTTTTATCGCGCTTCTTAACAATAATATACGCTATGACAGACATAGCTAATTGTTGACGCATGCAATATAGTTCCAAATACACATACAGAAAGGAGTGTTCGTTGCGTCTCATTTGATTTTATATGAATGTGTGTGTGTATTAACATACATGGTAAACAAAAAAGGAGAATGCGCGAGACCAATTAAACAAATATTTAAATGCAATCAAAATAATGCATTGATTAATAAAAAGTGTTACGTTTCAAATATTGAAACAAGTGTTGCCTGCTGATGTCAAATTGCGATTTAAGTGGAATTTAGCACGCTGATACATACAACGAAAGCCAAAACGAGATTTTTTGCAAGCCGCAATTTGTGTGTGTGTGTCGCTGTGTGTGTAGTAGTAGTTTGTACACATACATACATACATATGTACGATGTGCTCTTGTTGTGTCGTTGTTTGAGTTTGTTTTGCAACAACAAAAACACAATTGTAAGCACCTTAAAAGTGGAAGCAGTATTTCTACGCATTTGGCACTTTAAATTAGCAAATATTTAGTGTTGCCGCATAAAATTAACCTGCAGTTTGTTTTCGTCTTGTAGTGCACACTGTTTTTGCAAGTGTATGTGGGAGTGTGGGTGTATGTATGTAAGCGTAAGAGAGCGAAACATAAAAAATTGAAATATTTTCGCCTCGTTTGTATGTGATTTCTAATAACAATGCCCAACATCAAGTGAAAGTGTTACAACAAGCATCATTTAATGTTCAAATAAAAACTGCAAAAAATTAATAAGAAAACCAACAACAACTGTACACATTGCACAAACTTTGGATTACACTGCACAACCAGGAATTAATACTCGCTTGTGGCAACTGTTGCAAATATAAAGGTAATCACCACACAACTGTATAAATACATATACATGCATACACACATGCATATGTATGCATACAAACGCAGACACTTGTTTTGGGTCTTCTTTCGCACCAGTTTTTTGCTGTCGATTTTATCTCTCCTACCTGCCAATCGGTCGTTAAATGAGTTGATGTTTAACAAGTATGCATGTATGTGTACCTAAATAAGAGATATCCTGTACCCATACTCAAGTTTTTGCAAAATACAACTATTTCTTTATATGTTCATAAATACAAACCTACCACAAATGTCGCTAGTTCTGCAAAGAATGCTAAAAAATTAAAAACCAAGACGAAAAATCGAAATTGATTGGTTTCGGGACAACGCGGTTAAGTTTGTCTAGACAATATTGTTTATCCATATTTAGAATGTAAGCATATTGGATTAATATCTAAATGCAGTATATTAGGTATATCAAAAATCTCTTATTTAGTAAAATATTTAGAATTTAGTAAAATATAAAATCTCTATATTGTATTTAGTTTGATTTGTATTTCTATTTCGATAGTTCCTGATACGATACTCTCATTGCTTTTGTTGGTCCATTTCATAGAATTACTTTTGTTCTCGAGTCCCGAAAAGGTCCAACATTTGCTCCTGTTGCTTGTGTACCAAGTGAAAACTACGAACTTGATTTTCCTAATGATAAAAATCAGCGAGACAAAGACATTCAGGAAAAAGTTCAAATACAAATACTTAGAATGGGATCAACACGCGCACATACATAAATACTTACATACAAATACACATGTACATATATAAATGTCTGTTAACAGAGATGCCTTGCAAGAAATGTCGAAGCAATAAAGTTAACAATTTGAAAAGATTAGGACTGACAGAAATTGTGAACAAAAGGAAATGTCCTCCCCTAAAGCTGTCCGCTGATAGAGCTTTCACTGCACTCGCACATGTACATACATATGTATGTATGAATGTATGTATGTACACGTGTCGGCGGATACAGACGCGTTCAGTGATGACATTTAAGAAATTTTTGTCTGGCAAAGCGAATTTAACGTTTCCTGGTTTAATTGGTGCCTATTGACCGCTTATCGATGTATTGGCTGCTGTATGTGTATATGTATGCTTGTCCTAGTGCCAGCTGCTGGCAGTTGCCAGCTGTGATCATGGCCCCATGCCATTATTCCCCTTTAATTGATCAACTTGTGTAAGCTTTTCTCTCTCGCTATGCAGCGGCATCGTTTATAAAAAGGTTTACGAAAGTGAAACTTTGTTGTTGTTTTTATTTATCTATGTGCACTACGAAAGCTAATATGTAATGGTAAATTCAACAACGACCTTACGCCAGCCACTGAGAGCGCGTATGTCGTTGAACTCTTTCAAGCACAACAGTAACAGCATAACAAACAGCGAGTACGAAAATGCCGACGAGGCGCAAAACAAAAATTAACTGTGTGGTACACAAATCTTTACCGTTGTTGTCTCACAACACACGTTCGCCCGCTCGTACAAAGCTCAGCTTGCCGAAGCGTCGCTTCGGTGCAAAGCTTCACTTATCTGTGTTTTCGTTTTGCATTCGCTTCGGTATTGCTCTTTGACGCGTTGTTTTTGTCTCAACTGTAATTTTGTTTCGTTTCACCCAAATAGGTATCATGCCATACTTTATCCTCTGTTGTTGTTTGCTAGCCTAAGTCTCACATTATGCCCTGTGCTTGTTAAACAATTTTTCCTGGCAAACATTTTAGGTTAGGGGCATTATAATTCTATTGCATTCCATGAGAACAGCTTAAAAGTCAAAATACTTAATACTAATACTAATACTTAATGATATGATATGGCGAACAATTCAAAATGGCAAAGTGACATAAGCGCTTCAAGTGTGTTAGTCTCCACTTTAGACAAAATTGACCAACACTTTAAAAAAAATTGTTGCTCAACTGGCACTAACAGAGAGTTAAGCACGCGAAGCGATCAAATTTTGTTTGTTGTCCCATCCAAAAGTCGTCACAAAAGCGAACCAGTTTGGAATTTCAACTAATGATTTCCGACTTAAATGTGTCGATAGTCAGAGTCAGTTTGAAACCTGTCGCTTTAGTCTCCACCTGATCTACTCAGTTTGATTCGAATTCCATTTATCAATTGCCCACTTAAGAGGCGCTCAATTTGAAGAAACCAAAAGAGAGGAATTCTCTTTTGGTTAACGAACTACAAGTACCCTTTTAAACATATACGAACCAGTTGAGAGATCTTAACTAACATATCTTATACATTTTGTAATAAAAGCATAAGACGATAAGGCAATACATTAACTGTCAATCAATTTTGGATACAATCGGTTATTGCTTCGAGCTTTTGTTTTTATATAACGAATATAAAAATCGAAAAATGGCTTACTGAATGTTGAAATGCCCGCTTCTCTCTAACTATTAACCGCGGAGACAGTCAGATATAACTACTACAAACATAAGCTATTGCAACTATAATCAAGTAGTTAAAACTTCCAACAGTTTGCCAATATTATGTATTGCATGCTAATTTAGTTACGATACGAATTAAGGTGCACAATAAAACCAAATGAAAACCCATATATTTCTTAAAAAATAAAAAAGAATAACTTGTATCCTTGTCTAAGTACGAGTCTTAGATGTAACATTGAGTTTTTAGTTTAAATTTATTCAAAAACGTTTTCAAAAATTCGAAGCCATGTGGAATTATATTTAAACGTTTTTATCACTCACTTGGCAGCCCGTTTGCCTGTTGAAATATTTTATTGGACACTGTGCAGACTCTTTTTCTCCTCTTCCCCATTTGAGTGACGAGCACTGTATATGCACTGCATGTATAACGGTGCAGCCGAATGGTTCGCTTCATTTGTACTTCTGCTGCAATGAGTATGAGAGTACGAAAGTATGCGAGCTGTCCCTTCCCGCATTCCTGCTTGATTACGCACCCTGCTGCATTTATTGATGTTGTTTTCCATTGTGCTCAAAGTAGTAGTCGGTCAGGCAGAGCAAAAGATTGTTTATGAGGCGATAAAATGAGCAGCGAGGTTGGGGATCAAATTCCTATGTAGAGAATTTCTGTGGCGCACATGTGCGGGCAAGCAACAGACAAGCGAAAGCCATTGTTTTTGACCAGAGCAGAGCACAACAAATTTCAGATCACCAGACATTTTTTTCGTGTTTTTGTTTATAACAAATTACAACATTTAAATAGCCATAACAGAATTGTGCTTAAGTGTGAAACAGCCGGCAGATAAGGAGATCCATTTGCCATTTGCCTGACTGTACAAAGACTATATGTGCAGGTCACGATCAGGCTCTGTTCACAAGTTAAAAAGTCTTCTATTAGTTATAAGATATAATTTTAAAATTTATTGATATTTTGAAAAGTTTCTAACATTTCTAGAACTATTCCTATGCTAAGCGTTGGGTGACCTTTCAGGGAAATTGACGTCATTTTTGTGGATTCTAATTGAGTTTTTATTTTTGGTATTTTATTATTGACTTAAAAAGTTCACATCTGTATTGAGTGCATCCTAACCAATTCTAAGGCAGTGTGGCACACAATAAAATGAAATGGATTTTCTTTGCGATTTTCTGCGTCTTTCTCATGTTGCAATAGGCGAAGAGACGCATGAAGCATCCAAAAGTGAAAGCCAACATCAGGTGTTTGCATATCACATGCGGATTGGCGGGACCCATGTCTACATTGTCTGCTGTTCCGCTTACCCAAGCGCCAGTCGAGCGGAACCGAAATCCTCCTCGTCTGGTATATAAAATCGATGCAAAGTAAGCTGCCCGAACTGGAAATGCCTGTTCGATGACTTTTGTTTATGTTTATATTTATTAATATTGTTGTCAACTTTACTTCGGAAGCAAACTGAAAAATTGTATTAATGCATGTTTATTTCCGAAATATTTATGTGTTTATGATTAACATTTTTATAATGCACTAGTTAAATTTGTATCGTCATTTTCACGGCAGGTTATCAGACTTTCAGCTTGGGATAGACATTTGTTTTCGACTAGGTCCAGATTTTTGGGAATGCATAAACTACATATAACTATCTGTAGATTTTAAAGATTTCAGTTAACGTGCCCGTTTGCGTGGACGGGACGCCCGCGGACGTCTGTCGTATATGGGACGTCGGACTGCATTGCGCTTTCGCGGACTTGCCCTGTTTCGTTGCAGGACACGGCGGAGACGAGCACGAGTAGAGCGCGCAATTCTTGCTAAGATGCGCTGGAGAGATGTTGCATCAAAAATAACACAATACAGTGAAGACTGGACATGCTGGACATGCGCTCACCTGCTTCTGAAATAGATTCTTTTGTCCTTTGTTCAGTGCATCCCACTGCGCGGGCGCCTCCTGCAGCAGGCGCCGGAACCCAAAACGTGGGTGCTTGCGTTTGAGATAACGCAAAAAGTTTAGATAGGGTAGCGGTGCTACCAAGTTCGGATTGTCCAAAATGTCGTAAGCCCTGGGGATATCTGTCATTATAACATGAAATCATTGACAAATGCAGCAGAAACCAAAATATTTTCTTAATGTGCCGTTAAAACAGTACATGAAATTACAAATATGGTTTTTAGATTGAACAAAGCAATTTATGCCTCAAATTATAGGGTATGACAGCACGCAAATGCCTGCTGAGAAAGTGTTGTTAGAGAATTTCCATAAAATAAATGCGGCTGCAACCCAAATACATAAGTCTGTCTGTATGCTTGCATGCAAATAGAAACATGTCGCATAAAATTATAATTTTTTGTTATGTTTTCTTCAGTTCATAAAAATTCCACACATTCCAGCAACAAATTCCTTAGGCATGCCCACATAAAGCGGTAGATGTGAGTCTTGGCATCATCATTATTCTCAGCTCGGCTGCTTGACATAGAGAGTTCAAGAATTCGCATAAAGGAATTCATAATATAATATAAATATATATAAATATATATAAATATATATATTTGACTTATTTGTTAACTAAAAATCAACACACAATCTCTCTCTCTCTCTCTCACTCTCTTTTTATTATTTATGCAAATTATCATTTACTATAAACAGTGGCGGTCAAAATAATCGAGACATGATCCACATATCATATTTTACTGAAAGTGTGTATTTTTTATTGCATGTGTTCAGTGTAAAGCACCCACACTTTAAGTGAAAGTACATTTGGTTCTGAAAAAAAAAGAAATAAAAGTAAAAAGTACTCAAAATAATCAAAAATGATTTGTCAGCAAATATGATTATCCGGCAAATGAGTGAGCAAACCCGAATATTTAAGATATTCTTAAACAAATCTTATGTATCACCCGGAAACATAAAATCCGTGTCAAGGATCGGTTCAAAAAGGCTCAGAGACTCAAAGTAATATAAATCCGGAGCTTTTTGCCCGTGACTGTATGTACTCATTAAATAGCTGCATTCAGTCTGTGACTTTTGCTCATTTGTCTCTCAGCAGCTGATAAGGCATTCTATTCTTTATTATATTCAAATCAATTCATTTCCATTTTCGTCATCTGCCCCGCTCTGCCGAGCAAAGTCCAAGACGCAAATCATTTTCAATTGGCGTGCCCGACTCGCCGACATTTAATACACTGCGCGCGGCGCCCTGCACCCTGCATTTGGCTCTCTTGACTCTGTCTGTCTTACTGCTATATATAAACATATATATTTAATTCATAATGCAAGCCCCATTGGCCATACTTACTATATGAAAGTAAATGATAAATTCTGTCAAGTCTGTTTCCTGTTGCATAGCGATCGACCGAGTTGAATGAAGCATCGCCAGCTGCTATGCCGCTGAGGCAAGGGCTTTTGTAATGCTGAAATTTCCATCCGGCTTACAATATTCACACATATATATTTATTTATATATACGTATAGTATAATTGTTATGTTTGGGGCGTACAGTAATAATTCTCTTTTATATATGGAAATTATTTCACTATTATTATTGCTGTAGGCTGTGACGCCATAGTGAGCACTCATTGAATGTATTTAATATCGTATTGTATATGCATATTATACATTCCACTTCCATGATATGTTTGCATGTGGACATGAATGTGTATATATATGTATGTATGCATGGTCTACATTGGTATTTTAATTTTTTTAAATTGTGCAAATCGAGACCTTGCTTTTATTTATATTTCACTCTTCCCAAATGCCTTTATTAAAGCATTTTCTTTGCCTTATCTTTAGACTTTGAGTTAAGTAAGATTTGTATTATTATGGATACTTACAGAGTTTGATAAGAAATAAGCAGAAACGTGTAACTCATCAACAATCTGTGTATTTCTCGCATGACTTATAGCTAAGCACACTAATTTCTCTTCACAGAATAATTCTTATTTCCAATTAATAGCGATAAAACTATAAATTCCTATTCGGATAGCCTCATTTTATATACTTTGTATTTCTCTCATTTCCTAAATCTTTTTTCGTAACTCAACGATATCGTTCTCGACAGCTCCCACCCTTCGCACTAATGTCCATAAATCAACCTATTATTGTGATTGTTGAAGTCTATTTGCCAATTATGATATACAAAATGTTTGCATTTGTTCAATATTGGAGCACTTGATCAAACAGCACCGTTCAATCGCAACAAATTGCCTACTGAAAGTGGAATTTAGTTAGTTTCAGGCCATGCAATAGCTCTAGTATTTCATTAATTACAGAAATGCGCAAGCATTTATTTTTAAATGCTCAATAAAACATCTAAATGGTGTTTTACGCATAGTCACGCTTTTCACACAGCCATTTATGGATGGATACTTAACTAACCTCTGACGTTTATCTTTCTTTCATTACGTTTTTGGTTCGGTTAACCCAAATCTCTTGAAAAACATCACCTAACCAACTTTCATTTGGCTTATTTCATATATGGCAAGACTTAGTTATGTTTCCCTTCGAAACTCGGAAAATATGCTTTAAAAATAAAAAAATACATAAAGTAAACACTTGCTTGCACTTCCTAATTAAGTGCAATTAAATTTTATTTAGAAGCTACAGCATCTTAAAAAACTTTTTTATTTCTAAAAATTTCCCTACTATTTTATTTAATTTTTTATTTAATATTATTGAGATATTTAATCTGGTCGGTTGCGGAGTATCTGGATAAAGTGTCTTAACAATGCCTTTAACAATTTGTATTATTTGTGGCCCTAGACTAGGTTTTACCCTTTGCTATCGTAATGTTAGTCAACCTGATTTCTACGTGTTCTACCAGTTTTCTAATATCTCTGGCTGACCTTCAGATTATACAACGAGATGTTACGTAGAATTTCGCTGAGGGTCTCGTGAACTGGCTAGATTTATCTTTCCGCACATATATATTTGTTTTGTTTGCGGTTTATTAACCACAACTGACAAAATCAAAGTCTCAAGATGGTTGACACTAGATTCCAGAAGTATGGAATCAATATTTCGATTAGTTTCTATATTTCACACACATCTTATCGTTCGCATAAGTGCAGCAAGATAATACGTCTTCTTGAAACTGCGTAGTTGAATATTAAGGAAAAATTGTAAACAATTTTCACCTGTTGCAGGCATCGGAATATCGCAGCTCGCTTATAAAGCTGCTGCTGGATTTTCAAGCTAAGTCCACTTTAGTGCGCTTCACATGAATCGCATAGTTTTCCATTTGCCTTGGCGAAAGCCAATTGATGGAAAATTGCGGATGCTGTTCACTGGATTCTATCTTCTTCTCAATTGCATTTAGCTCAGACGCAGTATTAGCTCCAATTGTGGAACTGTGGAGCTGCGTTCGTTTGAATTTGGTGATTTCATATCCGCTGCTTAGATACAAACAAGCACACACACACACACACACACCTGCACACACCTGCACACTCATAAACTCCAAACGGTGTTCGCGTTTGAAATTGTGTAAATTTTGCTTGCCGTTTATTTATTTGCTTGTTTGTTTGTTTGGCAAATTTGCATAGTTAATATGTGTGTAAAAGTGTAACAGCCCTCATGTTGCGCATTAGCTAAACACACGCGGCAAGAAAGTGTTGTTGTGCCACAGAGTCGAATATTTCACATATTTAAGACTTGATGATAATTTACATTCATTCGAAATTTGAGGCTGTTACCAGACTTCGACCGGATCAATTGAATAGTTTTGAAATGCAAATGCTATCGAAATTGTTTACGTAATTCGCGACAACTCCAGGCACATACAAAGCCGTTCTCCAAAAATATATATGTTGTCCTACCTAAGCCACGCAGGACTATTATTCCAAAGCCGCGTCTTAGTGCTCACTTTCGAACCAACATGAAGCTTCAGTAAACATTTTAGCTATGTAGCTCTTACTGTTTGGTTTATAACCAATTAATCAATAACAGATAAATATATAGATTAAATACAAGATTACAAGCATGTGAAACTGTCTGTGTTGGTCGACACTTTTAATTCAGACAACAGAAAACAAACGAGCAGAGATATCCTGCAGGGGCGAGGGAACGGCATCCTTTTGAAAACTCACATTTTATGACTCGCTGGAACCACTCCTCGTTTCTTTGTGCAGCCGAAACTACTTCACATCTTCTGCCATGTGTTTTAGATTAACCACGCCCTGTACTCCAGTCCATCACAATGGGATTATTATTATTATTAATTTAGGGGAAGTTTTTTTCTGTGCATACAGTGCGTGTCTGTACTCTCGATAAGCGCAGTCTGACAATGACTGCATGCAGGCTTTTATTAAAGTTAAATTTAATTGAAAATAATTAATTTTAATAATCGTATGCATGTGAGGAGGATGATCAAACATGCAGTCCATAACTTTAGCGTTCTGTCAAAAAATATATATTAAGCTTCAAAGTTGTTTATGCCATCATAATTCATTTGAAGGGAGCAAATCGGCTTTCAACCAGTTTGGACTTGGAATTCTACTTTTACGAATCCATTCTCATGTTTTAAAGTCTTAAAATGAAATATATTTTAACCGAACCGAACCTTAGTATGCAGTATAAAATGAAAAATGTCACCACCCATTGGAATACCCTTGCAATCGGCAAGTTGATTTTTACAATCTGTTCTTTAACTAGAATCGGATTATCTAGCAAAGAACAGGTGGTCATAAGTTGTTAATTTCTGCTTTATGCAGTGTCGAAATAATATCAAATGTGGAATGTCACAACCCTATCATATCGAAGGATCAACATGGAACACCTTTGCCATATGACCGCATCTTGAATGCATGTGTCTAAATATATATGGAAATTGTTAGTTGATTTATTGAATCGAACAAATAAACATTTAATTGGAGGTTGACATTTTTGTGTGCGCAACTACATAGTTTTGTTTAATTCTTTTATTTTTGTATTTAAGAACAATCAAAAGCAATTTAGCGCTCAGCTGCTCTGCTGCCTGACACATGCCGCCATAAAAGTCGCAGCAGCAGCAGCAACAAAACCAAAACTGCAGCCCACGTTGTTTGGCATTTGGAATGGCATCAGATCCACTGAGTACAACTAGAGACCAGCGATTGGATAATAAGAGTCTGGCTTTAGTAAGAGCAGAGCGGTTCTGCCAATAAATGGCGTAAATATTGTTAAGTGGGCTCTGCGAAACAAAAGTCAGAAACCCTGAAAGAATTTGTTCTAGATTAACAAATGTAAGCATACTCCAACACATGTGAAGACATATGGTTACAATCATAGTTAATATAAATAAGTTCATTGTCTGTGTGCGTGTGTGTGTAAGCTCTTAAAACTGTGCGGTCTGTGTAAATGCTTCGGAGCATAAAATTATTGTGCTGCCTACAAATCATCATCAGCATCGTCAGCAGCTGAAAGAAATTTTCTTATTTGCTGCAGTGTAGCTTTCGCAGAGTACCTGTTGTTGTTGTTGTTGCTGCTGACATGGCAAAAGAAAATTCAGAAAATTAGTGCACTCGCATACCAAAAGATCTGGCGACGCCGCCCCCCTCAACTCTATGCAACCAGGCACATGTTGAGAATGCGTCCACGTCTTGCGCTGGCTCCAGCTCCAATTTGCCGACAATGCAGTTGGATCTGCAGATGAAAATGAACAGTTCATTAGTTGCATTAAAATAATTGTTTTACCCTAAATCCATTCAAAATGCATAATAGATACACTTAAATGGAGTTAATGTACATTGCTGTCAGATAAAAGAAACTCAGATCCTATGTGTATATATAATATATATTCTTGATCAGCGTAAGTACAAAGGTATGAATAGCAACCAGAATATTCCACACAGCCCATATACATTTCCTTATTTGGTTATCAGAGTATAAAAACTATGAGTCAAACTGCAAATAACAATAACATTCGTAGTTTTAAGCATATTTCCCTGTCTTTGGGTGCCAATTTATTAAAGCCTTATAAGAAGCTTTTGCAGAAGGTGGCATTAGGATAGGTAAGGAAACACACATAAGGGAGTGGGGAAAACGGAAGCATTTATTGTACGCGCTTCACCCACACATGATGAGTGATGAATGATTTACAACTCAAGAAGGTGGTTAGGCTTGCAGCAGCCGTTTGAGACACTAACTAGTAGTTCGATAGATATCAGATTGGAGACTTGATTGAGAAATTGATACAGGTTCTCATATACTCCACACTTAGCTCCAGTATGTTTATAGAGCTTTAGATAAAAAAAGATATTGAAATTTGAAGACCACAGTTACTCAGTGCATTGTTCTACAGACGAACGGCCTCAAAAGTTCTAAAAAAACCTCAGCAGTAGCCAAGTGGTGGATACAAAGAGCTGGTCCAGGTAGTCACAGCAGGTACAGACTTCAGAGGTGTGCCTCAACTGGGCACATAAAACAAAGCGAATCGAAGCTTACACAAGGAAACTAAACAGCTTCCTAAAAATACTGTTTATATCGCAGAGTTATTTTCAGATGTATTTGGCGAACTAATTTATCAAACAGCTCGGGTTGCAAAACGTTCTATATCCAGCATAGTTACTAATTTGTCATGAAATGTATAAACCTTTAAATGAGGCATTAAAAATAATTGAAATTATTTTTTAGCTAGCACAGATGGAAGATTTTTGGAAAGCTAATTTTTCACCCAACCGTTCCGCTGACAATTCTAAATGGACGGTATTTCTTTTTAACGGAAACAAATATGTACAGTACAGTTGTTGGCCGTAAATATAGAGAACCGTGTTTCGCTGGGCATATTTGGATAGGCAGCGGAACTCATCCAACAGTTTTTCCATGTTTTTCTCTCTCTTTTTTTTGCCACTCTCAACATCATCATTCGAAAAGCTGCTAAATCATTGAAGTAACTAAACAAACTAAAACTTAAACTTGCCTTGAAACAAAAAGTAAAACACAAAACAAATTACCAGGCAAGACATGACTTGAATAACTAAACAGAGAGAAGCCCGTCAACTTGTCAGGCAATGTTATCGAGGTAAAACGGGAAGCTTACACAACAAAATCAGCATGAGAACAATTCGATCCACAGTGGCCGCAATAAGTAGTCGGACGCTTGCACAGTCCGGACAGGAAGTCCATACAGCATTATCATGTTGTAATAATATATACTTGTTTGGTTTTTCTGAGCTTGGCTGGAGTTGCAGTTGGGTTTGCAGTTGGCGAGTTGGATAAGTTGATGTTGTGCCACTTCCTAGACGATTCCATTTTGGAAATTTTGCACGGCAAAAGGTTGCTGGTTTCCTTGTGTATACCCTGTTAATGAGAACATAGGGTATCATTGCATGTGTGTGACGCAAGTTTCCACAAGAAGGCAAGAAATTTCAATTTTATTTAGTTAATTTGTGCTGGGCAGGTGTTGCTTTTCTCTATGAAGATATCTCTGAATTTGTCTTTAACCGGCTGTCAATTAACTACAATTAAGCAAAGAGGATGCTTATCCAATCTTCCCTACTATAAGACAATAAATTTCAATTTTATTTAAACGATTTGTGTTCGAGAGAGTTCGAATGCCATGTACCCATTACAAGTATATGATAGTATATGGTATCTGCACCTACGGATCTGCTCTACAAAATTAAAGAAATTTCATTTTTATTAAGCTAATCAGTTTTCGAAAGGGTGTTGTTGTCTCTTGCGACTATTTATACAACCATTACCCATTAAAAAGTGGTTAAGAGTATTCCCATTGGTATCTACGAGTCGAACACTCTCGTGTCGTGTGGGGTGTGGAGCAGCGATGCATGTAACCGCGGACGGTGCATTTTGTGGGGTCAACTTCGAGTAATTTTTCTTGCAAGACCGACGACTTTCACAGACCTGGTAGCTCTGGTTGTCTCTGGATTGCCATGTCCAACTTGTTTGTTTGTGATTCGGGGGCCTTGACTGATTGCTTTGATGATTAATTTAAGAATGTAGCAGGTTCGGGGGTCAATTTTTGTTGCTCTTCACTTTTATGCCCGTGCCCACCAAATAGGTAAACAGAGTATTATAAAGCTGTGCAAATATGTGTATAAATCAAACAGGAGGAACACATCAAGTAGTCTGTATATATTATTGTATGAGATGCTGAGTTGCTCTAGCCATGTCCATGTCTATCAGTTTTCATTGAGAAGTCAATTTAAAGAATTTCGCCTATGTATTTTTGTTGAGATTTCTAGTGTTTATTTATTTGGTTCTTGGCATTGTTTAGTATAGTTGTTGAACTCTTTGACTCTTAATTGGATCAAGTTCATCAGTAATTATTTAAAAAGCATCAAATTTATTCAGCGCGTGCTTGCAACATCAAGCCCGTCGAGCACATGCCGAATGTCGTCGCACTTGTTGCTTAATTCGCCGACTCTTTTAATGGGTATATGGATATGTGACAGGTGAGCGACCATACGGCAAGCCAAACTAACAACTCCGATTGCCTTGAAATGAGATAGTCGTAAACAGGTATTGCTCGACTGAGACAACTTAATGAAACTGTTGTAATTACACGACGAATTCAAGAACGTTTTAACTAGAAAAAGCCAATGATTTAGGGAAACGCAAGTTCACCGACTCAAATAAAGCAGACCTATATGTGTTTTAAGCGAGAACCTATATTTGTTGAATTCTCCGAACATATTTGAGCTAAAACTAACAAGCGTACTTTTCCTTACCATGAACCCATTCAAAATTTAAAAATAAGAAAATATGTTAACATACGGGAATCTCCTACTATATATATATCCTTTGATATTCATAATATTGATTTTAAACTCATATATAAATTACACAGATTAATAAGGCACTAGCCTTGGATTCGATTCAGGATCCTCGTTGTTCAGTTTCCTATATGTCAGGGTTCACTTAGAAAACTAACAAGGACTGTAGTTGATATACATTATTATATGGCTTATCATTTAAAATAGGCTGAAAATATATACAAAATTACATTTCATTAAAAGAAAAAGCAGAAAATGACTTAAATATGTATTTTATGATATAAGAATTTAGATTCCTACCACTCAATAGCTCATATTACCTGAGAGTCACAAACTCACATATGTATTCGAATTCCCACGCCCAAAGAAAAACTGCAGAATCTCAAGTGGAGCTGTTCAGAATCAATTGAAGAATCCATTAAGTTATGAGTTCTCTGGGAATGCTCTTACTTATTTTTAGTGCTATGATGTAGTCGACATGAAAAATGGGATAAGAAGAGATGAATTAAAATATATTGCCTTCAAATCCAAAGAACGGTTTGATTTACGCAAAAGACAAAATTTAAACATTTTCCGATTGCCTTGCTAATACTCATCTAAAATTTAAGTAATATGATCTGAATTCAGCTTTTGATTATTTAAACTTAGTCAATGTTTGTTCGGGAAATGGTAAGAACAACAACAAAATATTAAAGACAATTGCAAAAATAATTCTTGCATATGTAAGATTTATTTCATACGCAAACAGTAACCCGCCAGGGTATTATAAGGTTGACCTGTTCCCCTTACAATTTGTAAATTGAAGGTTGACATGCGCCGCCACACAAAGTCAGAAGGTCATCTTTCACACGTGGTGGCAAGTAGACAATGGACACTTTTGATAGTCGAAAGGTCAACTGCGGGAACGAAGTTAATCTGCTTAGCATTCCATGTTTTTTTTATTTTTGTTTTATTTTATTTAATTAAGAAGATTACATTCTTACTTTGAGCGCTCCAATTTCGTTGACACACAAAACTGCCTCCGCTCTTGATTTTAATTATTTTTATTTTGTGTTGCTGTTTTAACTTGTATGCTGTCTAAGCGGGCCTCATGATATCCCATGAAATGTGTAACACCACTAAAAATAGATTTTCCTAGTCAGATCGGTAATTTTGCTGATGGTATTTCAATTCAGATTCTAAATATATTGAAACAATCATGCTCGGTTGGATTGGAAATGTGGAACAAATTAAAATCCCTTTATACAAACTGACTAAGATCGTCTTTTAGCACTTATGATATAATAGAATCTATATCTTCCTTTGTCAAAGATTCGACAGCAAAAAAAGTGTGTTGTCGAGTTGTCAATTCTTGCGATGACTGCAATTTTTTTAATGGGAATAAAATTTCAAATATAAACACACAATAATTGGCAAATGTTTGGAATACTCTGTGCCTAAACAGCACTCAATTTTTCCAATATAGTGCTAAATAACCGGAATATCTTTCGGTATTATCAGTGAATAGCAAGTTTGCTTCAAATGTTGACCACTGATAAATCGCTTTTATTATTCATGCATACATATATTTTTGAATGTCTCATACATTTATAAATTGCCAAGGCCACTTGACTGTCTACAGTTTAATACGTACAAAATGTATTTATACAGAGGTTTTGCCGTCATTGATTTGCATTTGGTCATGGGCCAGAGATTTTTTTTTGCACATATACATAAATATTTATACGTTTAGCTGTGAATTAGGAGAATTGTTGTATATCTGTTATGATTATGGCAATTTAGTAAAAACAAACAAAACAAATGGAGTACACCCTTTTTCCACATCACGTATTGGAATGCATTTTTGTTGAAGCTCGTTGTCAGACCTTGAATATTGCATACAATTTTATGTACATACCAAAGCTCAATTCTCAATTAAGACTCATTCATGGATTTATCGACTCAGCTCGTCGTCCTGATGTCTATGTGCTCAAAAATACTCCGTTCTGCCTATTACATTTGCATAAATACTTCATAACAATTTTCAATGGGTTGGGGGTATAAGAAACCACTCAAATTTGTCTACAATTTATAACAAAATACCAATTAACACAATTTTATTATATTTGTATTTCGCAGCGAACCTAAATATGCTGATTTTACGCAGCCGCTCAAAGCACTCGGCGAGTGGATGACTTAAATATACATCAAACATTATATTCATACCCCAATTCATACATGAGTTCATGGCACACCTTCTCATGGAGCAACATCAGCTAACAATGGAGCCGGTTATTCAACATCTGAGTTTAAATTCAACCATTTAAAGGAACCTGCACTTAATCAAAAGTCTTAAGACTGAACAATCTCACTCTGAACGTTGAGACTCTCAAGACTCCCTACTTCCTAACACTGAAAAGCAATCCAAAAAAAAAAACAAAAAAAATGAACTCTGTCATCTCAGCGTTTAAGACCAAGAAGAGCAACACGACCGGCCCAACCGCTGTGGCAGCTACGTCCAATGTTGCAACAACGGACGTTAAGCAAAACGGCGGCCTTGTTGGCCTAAGCATAGCCAGCGTTGGCGGCGGCATCCGAAAGAAGCCTGTGGCCCAAGACAATGGCTATCAATACCTGCGACAAATACGTGAAATTGAGACTGCCAACAAGCTGCTGTCACCGGTTGTAGCCGTTGCCGCCGATGATCTCCACATGCGCAGCAGCAATTCGTTCTTGGAGAGCAGCGATAAGCTGCACTTCCGTCCAGCGGTGGATGCAGCTGCCGCAAGCGCTGATGTAGTCGATCATTGTGCACCAGCCAAGGTCCGTTTGTCCAGTGCCGATGCACCGCAATCTGATCACAATATGAACGGCAAGATGAACGGATTAACCAGCAGTAGTTCCAATATCGTGATTGCCGAGAATGGCAACATGGACATCTACGCCTTGCCTTGCGATCGACATAGTCCAACGTCGCCGGATGAAGATGACAATTCGGATCATTCGACGGCCGCTTGCAACAGCACAAGCAGCTCCAGCGAACACAGCAACAGTACTGTGGTGCACAGTCCAACGGTGGTGGGCGCCAACCCGCAGACCAGCTCCCATTGCAGTCCCA